GAAATCACGGCTGGTGTGTCATACACAAATGTTACTCCTGAAATCTCCTCATAGGAGGCAGAGTAGAAAGACATTTTAGCATTCTCATTTTGCTTGTGGATCCAAAAACCAGAACTTTTTAGGATTATAAAAAAATGAAGGGGGAGAAAAATGACACTACAGGAAGATATCTAGAGTTCCCCAGTCTGAGAAGCAGTGACTGTGCTTAAAAAAAATAGTAATAATAATGACAGTATAGTTAAAAAGTTTTAGATTATGAAATCTCAACAGCCTCTTGAGTATAGTCACTAATAGCACTTTAGTCTGACAAGTTATTTCTCCTGCTTTACAAATCTATGTTAGTTGTTTAAATGGCTTGAAATATTTCAGAAGGACCGTATGACAAAAATGGGCTGATAGCTGTTCCAAGTGCTGTCTTAGAGAGCAAAATCATGTTGAGTGTTGATAATTTAAGAACATCACCTCTGAGGCGTGTGCTACTATCCTTGCAGCACAGGTTTCTTGCCCTTAGAGAGCTTCTGTTTTTAAATTTAAGAACGCCTGGCAAATAGGACTAGGCTTTTTGTCACATATGAATGAATTTCAAAGAAGAAAATAGGAAAAGAGCATAAAAGTGCATAGGCATATTGAATCATAGGCACACAATCATACTGCCTAGCTGCTGCCATTTCTGTATCTTTTGGGAAGGGTGGAATGTAAGAGGAAGGAATTCAGATTAAACATTTCTTTAGTCCCAAGCACTGGTTTTAATAAATGTGGACTATTGAAATGTGATGGGATTTAAACTGTTGTTCAGCACCAATATTGTATATGTTACAAATCATAATTTCTAAATCTGGATTTATTTTTTTGTGTTTTTGACTTTCTAAGCTAAGTAGCTGTATATAAAAGTTTTCTCTGTTTTTGAAAAGATCCTATTTTTAAATAAAGCATTTTTTTATATAAAGTGTTGTTGAAGTGTTCATTGTGAATTATACAAGACATTTTTGTAAATGTAAACACTGGAATGATTAGATCAAGCTAATTTGCATCCATTCTACATACTTTTGTGAGAACATTTAAAATCTACTCTTTTGGCAGTCTTTAAGTCTACAACATATTGCTATTTATTATAACCACTATTCTGAACAACAGCTGATACACAATATGTATCTGTAGCTGATACTTAGCAATGGGGGTCAGTACTGGGTATACTCGGCTTCTCTACTGAAATAATCCAAACTAAAATTCAAACTTGGCCAGAAAAATACTTCATTCCAATTTTATTATACAAATTACAAAAATAAAGTTATTTTGTGTGAAAAGTAGATGAAGTCATCGGCTTTAGAAAACATTTTAATACATTGAGAAGCACCAAGAAAATCAAGCCCACTTGATTTTCTAAAGATCTTAAGTGTAATATTATTTTTAAAGTTTAACAATCTCCAAATTTAGGCAGTTTGGGTTATGGTTTCATATAAGATTCAAATACCTCTTTCAATGTAGAAAAAAAGCTATTTGAACATAAGTGTATTACTGACTTTACAAAGTTCCATCAATCAGATAGTACAAAAAAAATTTTTTTACTTACAAAATAAACAAAAAAGGGTTAGAGATGTAGGTCAGTAGTAGAAGTTTTATCTAATACACACCAGGCCTTGGGTTCAATCCATTTTTTTGTTGTTGTTGTTAAAAAGAAAAGAGCCAACAAATGTATAGCCAGCACAAAGAATAATGACTAATTCAGCTTGGAGGTATCATATTGTCAAGTACAGATCATCTGTTTAAGTGAGGCCTTCCTTTTATGCTGAGCTTGGCTTCCTGACTTAATCCACATTTGGCAAAACCCAAACATTTAATACTAAGAAATTCAAATTTTGGACTATTTACTAAAAGCTAACAAGGCAGAAATGCTGACAGATAGTCCAGTAACATATTGAACTGAGCCCTGTAAATTCATGGATTTACTGGTTTTCTACCCTGTTGTAAATATTACTAGACTTGCAGTCAGTTCTGATAAAAAGTTGTTCACTTTTCCCTGGGTCTCTTCATGTGAAAGTGTCAAATAACTATAAATACTTACATGACAACTTAGTATAATGACATCAAACATAACCATGATAGAAAAAGAGGCAAGGGAGAATTATTTTATCTTTGACTTTCACCTCAGTGTGTGGCACAGTTCGTTCTGAAAGGCAGCTTCCAAATCACATCCTCATGTGTCCATTCACCTGAAGAAGCGCAAGTCTTTTTAATCATTTGATAAGAGCATTATTAAATTTGTATTTTTATGAAACACTACCCTTGTCGTCGCTAATTAAGCAGATTTATGTCACAGATATTCACATTTATCTCATTTATCTTCAGGCTAAAGACATTTTAAGCAAAGAACAGTCATTTAAAAATGCCAAGTGATTGTGGCCTTTCTAAAGCCCAAGTAAAAAAATGCCAAGTGCTGGGACTTGGTACTTGCCAGAGCAAGTATTCCTCCCAGGCCCTCCAAGACCTTTTCTGGCAGACATGGGGTCCTTGTGTTTCTTCAATAAGCTACTTTTAATTAAATAGATGGTTTAAGTGAAGCAAACCCATGTACCACAGAATTACCCCTATTCTAACAGACTTACAATCTGAGTTAAATGTATTTGTAACTTTTTGCCTTATATTCATAAGGAGATAAAAGAGTGTCTTTCTGCCAAGAGGTCTTAATTTGGTGATGGCTACCAATGGAGGCTGTGCTGGGGTGGGGACCATGCATGGCCTTTTGGGCATCTGACTGAAGTATAAATTCCTGTTCCTGGTAATGGAGAAACTGTGTAATCTCTCAGCGTTTCTTTACTTAAACATCAGGAAAATGACTCTTGTTAAATTGTTGAGAGCATTAGGAATAATCCACGCAAAGTGGCTGGCACATGGTAAGTTCGAAGTACTAGTAATTCTTGATTTTGTTTGCTTGCTGTATTTTGTATTGCTTTTGTGGTAAGTTCTTGGTGATGGATGTTTTGTCTTCTCACAAGATATTGTATTGTTTCCTGTTCTCTGCAAGCAAGTACCAGTGCAGTCGGTTGGTCATAATCTGTCCCCTTTTATGCCAACTTATACCAGTACTTCTCACAGGACTTCATCCCTTAGGAGACACTTGGCACTGTCTACAGACATATCTGTCACAACTTAGAGGACTATCTAGGGGTCAGAAGCCAAGACTGTTGCTAAGCTTCCCTACATGCCTAGAACATCTCTCACGTCCCTGTCAAAGAATTACCCAACTCCAAATGGTAATAGTGCTAAGTTTAAGAAATCTTAACTTTATTGATTGTGATGAGCATATTTCTAGAAACAGGAAACCATAGCAACCATCAGAACTTTCAAACATTAAGTAGGAATAACCATTGAATAGGCTGCATAGTAGGTGGATACGAGTGGGTGTGTTTAAATTCCTTTTTAACAGCACATCCATTCTTGTTTGATATATATAGTGTGTGTGTGATGAAGTCAATGCACCACCAATCTAACATAAATGGTTAACTTGCCTTATACAAAATAGCTTTCACTAATCAAATCTTTAATTCTATGTATACCTGTATATAAAAGTTCATCAGACTGGACATTTAAAAGTCGACACATCTTATACTTTAGCATAAAATATTTACTATGTATATATTTCAGTGTATAAATTTTTATGAAAAATATCTGCAATATAATATAAACAAAACTAGACTGCAGTTAACTTTTCCATGCAAACTCATAGTGTTTAAAATGCTTAACTGAGATACTTTACTGAGCCACTATTTTCCTTCCTTTTCTTTTTCTTGCTTTTTGGGTTTTGTTATTGCTGCTGCTGCTGTTGTTGTTGTTGTTGTTGTTGTGCTGTTACAGGGGCTTGGACTCAGGGCCTGGGTGTTGACCCTTAGCTTTTTTCACTCAAGATTGTTACTCCACTACTTGAACCATAGCTCCACTTCTAACTTTGTGTCTATATGTCTGTGTGTGTGCACACACACATGTGTATACTATGATAATTGGGATAAGAGGCTCATGGACTTTCCTGCCCTAGCTGGCTTTGAAACTGATCCTCACTCAGCTCTCAGCCTCCTAGTAGCTAGGATTACAGGCATGAGCTACCAGTGCCCAGCTATCCAACCTGTTTTCAGTTCAACAGCTTTCATTAGTGCAGTGAGTTCTTAAAACATTTTTAAAAACCCTATCAGAAATGTTGGACTCAAGTTAGTGAAATTATCCTATGTATCCTAGTATGTGTTCATTTCTCACATGAGAAGTGATCATTGTTAAGCTACACAAAAACAAAAAGGCAACCAGGAATATCTGAGAAAAATGTTTAGGCAAGTGTTTCTACAAAGAAAAATCTGGGAGCAGGGATGAAGTGTGGCGAAAATCAGGTTTTGATTTGTTTATTCAAAATAGAGAATTTGAATTTCTGTAAGCAGAACTGATAGAAATAATTTGATTCTTGACAACCTACATGTTCTGCTGAGGCTGAAGCAGAGGGAATGCGAAAGTGATGACTCTCAGATCCTGCTTTGTGCTTAGTTTCACTGGAAATGAAAGGGATTTAAAGCTGGGTACAGAAAGAATCTTGAAGCTCTTCATAGTCCCTTTTAAGTTCAGGGCAGAATATGGTATCTGAGTTTCCAGAAACCAGAAGCAATAGTTTTTATGAAGCCACAGTGTGGTCTCAGCAAGGACTGAGAAGGAATGACTGAAATTCACAAGGTTGAAAAGCATATTTCTAAGGTGAACCAGCAAAATCTGGAAAGAAGTGAGTTAAATCAAATGAAAGCCCCAATTTTGAACAGTGAACAATGAACTTAAGAATCTCATCAAACTAGTAAAAGTGGGTTATTTATATAATTTCAGCATTGATGAATTCACAGACTATAGAGACATAATGGGTTTATAAGGAAAAATTATATACATCCCCCACATTCTATCAAAGGCAACAGAACCCAAGTCTGGATAAATGGGGGTATCCATGTTTGTCCCTTCCACCAGTATTAACTAAACACCTCTCACACATTGAGCACCAGGCTATATGCACTGTAAAGACAACACCACAATCCCTGCTTGAGCAAGGATTAGACAGCTAGCTAGAGGGAGGATTGAACTTGTGGCCAGGAGAATGGAAAGATCCCTCTGCAAACATGTCCTTGATGAGGTCCTGCTTCTATTTCCATCTCGTGTTCACCCAGCTTAGAGTGTAACAGCTACTAGCATTGAAAATGTCTTTCTTCAAGAAGAGCTGTGGTTTAGACAAATCTTTATAACTGTGAAAAAGCCTGAAATCCTTCCACTCTAACTCTTTGAAGAGGCTGTACCAGAACCGCACCACACTGCTGTCATTGCCGCTGACCTCAAAGCCAGGCCAGTGGAGGTGGATCTCAAAGATGAGCTGTCCAATCTGATCAAGGACATCTTCCAAAATAAGATTCTCCAAAACTTTCCATTCTGCACTTTCCAGATCTGCCTTGAGAACATCAATCTGTAACAAAGCAATGAAATGAGATTCTCAGGTTCAATAAATCGCTTAAAAATACCTTTTTCATATCATAAACCTCATACTATATCCCAAGGCAGCAGAGGTTTTAGAATTTTAGATTTGGAAGTCCTCTTCTCACAGAATGAACATGAATGATATGTCTAAGGTGTGAATTTCAAACCTCATTTTCAAACCACATGTTAATAATTCAGAAATGATGAGATACCAGGTAGAAATCATAGCAGACATCTTGCTTTCTGCCCTGGGGGACATCTTGCTTTCTACCCGAGAGGCCAGAACACATGTATCAGCCTTTTCCTACAACCTGGATGCTACACCAACGAACCCAGCTAAGCCATGACAGAATGAGGGCTACCGCAAGGAAGAAGATAGGAATGGGAAATTAATGTTTTGCAACCAATCAGGCTCTGAGAGTCAGCACCTTTTTGATGGCTTTGCATAAGGAATTATAATCACAAAACTTTCAATCCCAGAAAACAATGAAATCAGTCTCCTTATTTCAAAGGTTACATCCCTGTGAAGTGACCTCAAGACTTTTGCCCTTCGAGAAGCTGCCAAAGTCACTAATATCTTGCCTCATGGAAATGACAATGTCTTTGCTGGTTTAGAGAATGGGTAGCCACCAAGACTAATCCAGCTCAGCCATTTCTCTTGGTGCATATCTGGTAACATTCTCCTATGAGGCTGAAATGTGAGGCTCCAAGGTCACTTGTGTGACCTTAGTAGGCTGGAGCAAGTACACAGAATTTGCATGTAATTGATTCAAGAGAATGGGCTTTACATAATGCCCTGAGACCTTGTGGAAGATGGGATAGTTTCACTTCTTGCATTAAATGGTGCCTTCTGGTCTGAGAAGAGTGAAGATAGCATTCCCAACTCACTGAGAAATTTTAGAAAAAGCTATATGTCTGTGAACCAGCTTGTGGGCCAATGATTACCAAAAATCAAAGAGAAGAGAAAAGGTGAAAGGAAAAACCATTCTCTGAAGGATTGACCCCCCCCCCCTATTATCTCAGGTGCATACAGAGGTCAGGCAAGCCACCAGATATACACAGACTGCTTAACACAGGCAGGGCAATCTATCTAAGCCTGGCTGTAAACATTCCATTGTGGGCCTCCACAGCCCTCGACCTAATGACTTTTTGTTAACCTCTGCCTCCTTGCTCAGACCCCATAAAAGCCCTACTCCAATCCCACCTCCCGTACACAGCCTCCATCCATGCAGGAAGGTCTGTGCCCCTTCCTGCTCTTCAATAAACAGTCCAAGCCTGTTGAGAATCAAGTACAATCTAGTCCTTTTCCTTTCTCTTCCATTTTCATAACATTCTCTATGAAAATAACAGCAAGGGCATGTTCCCTGGGGATATCTATCTATCTATCTATCTATCTATCTATCTATCTATCATCTATCCGTCCATATATTTTTCTGTGAGTAGATCCCTACTGCCCAGGAACTTACCTGGCTTTGTTTAATCTTAGTGGTTTTAAGCAGAGTGCTCCTGAATTGAGGGTAATTAAACTGCCAAAAGAAATACTAAAAATTTCACAAAATGTTCTGATTCACATACACCAGCATTTGTTGGATTAAGTCACGCAGCCAGGGATTTCTTAGATTCCTTACAGATCAACATCCACCAGTTTTCTGTGGGCTTCCATGTGAGGGTCCTGAGGCAAAATACTAAAGGGGCAGGGTAGAGTTGAGGATGTAGCTCAGTGGTAGACATTTGCTTAGCAAGTGTGAGGCCCGGAGGAGGTTAATCCCCAGCAACAAAAAGAAAAAGGAAAAAAAAAAAAAAGAATAGCAAGAGGGTAGGAGAGATGAAGGAAAACACAAAGGTAAATTTAGTTAGCTTAAAATTGATTTAAAACTGCACTGGTAAGATGGAGGAGTCATACTCTATTGTTTCCAAATAGACTTTAGGCAAATTATCAATCAAATTATAAACAGAAGAGAACAAAATTATTATGTTAAATTATAGTAAATATAGTTGGCTTGCTTTAGAATCTGTTTTGTTTATAGTACTGAGGTTTACAGTCAGACACTCTTCTCTTTCATCTGGACCATATCTCCTGCCCTTGCTTTAGTTTTGTACTTTTGCCTGAATCAACCTCAGACTACAATCTTCCTATCTCCACTTGCCTAGTAGTTGAGATATAGGTATGAGCCACCATAGACATAGCTTGTTTTTGAGATAGGCCCTGGAGTTGTATACTCTAAGGTATACCTCTAAGGTAGAGATCCAGTTTTAATATACATAATTCAAATACAGTCTAAAAGAAAATCTATTTTAAATATTACAACACCTCCATCCTCTTAGATTTGGATGACTGAAAAAAAAAATCTCCTTCTTTGACTAGAATTGTATAGGTTGATCAAAATCATTCACCCTAGGGGTACTATGACACCTAGTTACACTATATTTAATCTCTTCCCTATGTTGTGACCCAAGAACATGGACACCCAGAAAGCTGTGAATAAAACATATTTCCCTCTCCTTTGGTACATTTTCTGTTTCTTGCATTTCAGAATGCCCCATTACCATTTACTACTTTGCAAATGTGATTTTCATTATTATTGCATAATGCAGCCAGTATCAGTATTATTAAAAAGTACTAAACATTTCTAAATGAGATGTGCCACTTTTAGGATTCTATTATGATCCTAAAAATCATGCAAATGATTATATTGGAATAAAAAGTGCCAATCCTAATACAAACAAGTTTCTAGAGGAAATCAAGGAACTGTTAATTTCCTACAAACTTTGGGATAAAAGACAACATATTCATGGGTAATAGAGGCTCAAAGATGGTAGATGAAACAAGCCATTTGGTATGATTTCAAAGGGATCTTCCTCAGACAAATGGAGACAGAAAGAGAATATAAACACAATATTCAATGTACATTTATGAAAATGGAAACAGGTAAATTGAGGAGATGGGTAAGGTTGGGGGCGATGGCTAGGAATAACAGAAGGGTGACACTGAATATGATAAATTATATTAGCAAGGTACAGGTGGCTCATACCTATAATCCTAGCTACTCAAGAAGCTGAGATCTGAGGATTTTGGTGTGAAGCCAGCCCAGGCAGGAAAGTCTGTGACTCTAATCTCAATTAACCACCAAAAAGTAGAAGTACAGCTGTGGCTCAAGTGGTAGCCTTAAGAAAGCTCAAGAACAGCCTGCGTTCAAGTTCCCGCACTGGCACAAAAACCAAAACAAAACAAATGTATTATCTCACAGCTGTGAAGTCTAGAAGCCCATTTCTTCCTGGAGACAGCTTTGGGTGTTTTCTGGTAATCTTTGCCATTTCCTGGCTCCCACATCACCTCCATCTTCATATGCTGTTTTCTGTATGACCATGTTTGTGTCCAACTTTCCCCATTTTATAATGACATCAGTCATATTGGATTAGAATCTGGTGTACTCCATGATGACTTCATTTTCAGTAAGTATATCTATAATGACCATCTTTCCAAATAAAGCTACATTCTGAGTCACTAGAGGTTTGCTCTGAAACATATTCATATGGGGGATAGAGGAAGGACTCAGTTGAATCACTAACAACATTCAAGGCAACCATCAAAATAGGACTTTTGGAAGGCAGTGTGTGTTCAGGAGCCAACTTCAAGAGCCAGTGCTTCAGAAGTGTTTTGTTAAAGGAATCCAAGGTCTGAGACTGTCAGAGGCAATTACTGATGTGGCTCTACTAGTCCCCATATCAGCCAACACTGGCAACTACAACCTTGCTAAGTGCCAGACTCAGAGCAAGTCAACAAGCCCCCTAGGTCCATTGAAACCACCAATGCAAAAATCTCTTTACTTCATTCTCAGCCATTCAACCTGGCCCAGCTGGACTTCTGATCTTTTCCACTCTCTATTTACCTGCTTCCTTTCCCTCTTGAATCCCCTCAGCACTCCACACCCTTAGCTCTACTGCTTTCTACTCAAAATGTTTCCCTTAGCAGGCTTTCCTATAGCACAGCAGATTTTGCCATTATAAGCTGGCTGGCTTTCAAGGACAGAAGAAATAATCTCCACAGTACCTTTCAAGTAAGAGCAAGTCTGGGCATGATGAAGCATCACTCATTGCATTCTACTGGTGAAAGCAAATCATAAAGTCAACCTAGATTCAAAAGGGAGGCAAAATAAGTTCTAGCCATTGAGGATGGCATGCACAGAGTTAGTGGGGTGAGGGACTTGTTCATGGCCATCTTTTCAGATAATTGGCCAAATCAATCAGTGTTTTCTGGGTGCAAGCAATGCTCAGGAAGGATGAATAATATTCATCAAAATGTTATCAAAGAAGGGACCACTGCTGGATGTCAATGGCTCACTTGTGTAAGACTAGCTAGCTACTCAGAAGGCTGAGCTCTGAGGATCAAAGTTCAAAGCTATTCAGGGCAACAATGTCCAGGAGACTCTTATCTCAGAGGTGTGGCTTAAGTGATAGAGAGCTAGCCTTGAGCTCAGAAACTGCACCTAGGCCCTGAGTTCAAGCCCCAGAACTGGAGCATGTGTGCATGCCCACGCGTGCACACGTACACACACACACACACACACACACACACACACACACACCACCCCACACAAAGGAGAGAGGGACCATAATTAAAACATGCATTTGGCTTGGTAAGAAATGTACGCATTATCCTGCCCATGCAATTGTAACCCCTCTGTACAGTATGTTCACAAATAAAATAAAATTAAATTAAAAAAATCATGCATTTGCTAGTAGATTAGTTTTCCTTGGAAACTGACAGAGAACCTGGGATATCTGATGGATTAGGATAACTAATAAGGAAAATACTACATTCAGACATGATGGTACCTACCCCTGTAATCAGCACACTGGTAACTGAGACAAGAGAAATGCAATTTTGAAAGCAGTCTGACCTTCATAGAGGATTCCAAGAAAGCCCAAGCACATACAAGACCCTGTTTCAAAGAGAAGAGGAAGAGGGAGAGGGGAGGGAAAGGGAGA